CTTTTTGAAAATGTCATGGCTTCCATATAACTGAGAGCCATGTTACAATGAAGTAAAATTCAGTGAAAACTGGCTTAAACAATAATAGATTTATTGTCTAGGTCAGCGATTTTCAACTGATGTGCCGTGGCACACTGGTGGATCACAAGAATTCTTAAAACATGCAATACCTGACTATCTAATCAAGAGCACTGACCTCTTTTCCCTTAGACTGTCAAATTAAAAAAGAAATGACAACAGCCAACACTATAATAGACATCCAGTGTGAAGGAATAAAAATTATAGCTAAATTTTTGTCAGACTGGCAAAAAATGTATTTTTGGCAAAGCCATAGAATTTTAGTAACTTTATGAGCCAGGAGATGAGAAGGGTCGAAACTCGCAGCCTGGGTGATGGAAGTCCAAGGAGCCCAGTGCTCAGGGCTGATCAACCCAGGGGCTTAGCCACATCACAAAAGACTGGGCTGTTTGTTACCATGTTCTGCCAGCTGCACTATCACCTTCATCCTAAGGCTGATCCTCTGGGGCTTTCTTTTTTCTGTGTTGCTCAAGTACAGTTGTCTCCATTTCCGCCCCTTGACTCTTCCCCTGCTCCGCCCACCCCCACCTCCCACTCTCAATCCTACCCCCCTTAGGCTTTGTCCATGGGTCCTTTATATGTGTTCCTCCACAACCCTTCCCCTTCAGTCCCCATCATCCCTGTGCCCCCTCTCCTCTGGTTTCATATCTGAGAGAAAAGATCCTAAAAGGTCCCAGAAATCTCTTCGTGACTCCTTGTTCTGAAATGGCTTATATACACACTCCTGTAATGGTGTCAAGGGAGGGGCTTTTGTGGATTAGTGAAGCCAGGTTGGAGTCAGCTTCTAGCAACATACCTGAGATGATCCACAGAGGAGCAACACCTCAAATAAAACCTCGGGATTAGTCCAGAGAGGATCTTAGACAAGCAGTGACAAAGTTCAGTGCAGCATTCAGCACCTGGAAATTTCAGCCTGTAACTTGGAAACAAATAGGTAGAAAGATTTTTTAAATGATTTTATTACTTTTATATTATTATTATTATAGAATTAATTGAACTCCATGGCAATGAAGAGAAATAAAATCTACTTATTATAATACTAGTTGACAAGTTTATTTTTTTCCTTCAAGTTTTTACATTCTTAGTATTTGAAAAAATACTTAATTGTAACAATAGTGTTGGAACAATTTTGCATTCTGTTTTTATAGCCATTTCAATGGCTGTATCATAGTCCATTAAGTGGCTCAATGATATCATAGTTTATTTAACCATTGCCTCTCTGTAGGATATTTAGGCTATTTGCAATTTTTTGATGTTATAAATGACCTACATACCACTTTTGTGCATGTGACATTTTTTCCTCCTTTGGGACTCATCTGTGTCTGAATATGATTCTTGATACAGATTTCTATACAATTATCCATTTACACCCAGAATAAACAAATTGAAACTTCTTTAAGATGGTGATCTTCTAAATTCACCAAGTGCTGTTGCAATTCAGATATTAAACACTTCAAGCAGAGTTTTCTTTTTTTTTTAAGATTTTATTTAATTATTTTTAGACAGAGAAGAAGGGAGGGAGAAAGAGAGGGAGAGAAATGTCAGTGTGTGTTTGCCTCTTGCATGCCCCCAACTGGGGACCTGGCTCACAACCCAGGCATGTGCCCTGACTAGGAATTGAACTGACCACCATTTGGTTCACAGGCCAGTGCTCAATCCACTGAGCCACACCAGCCAAGGTCCAAGTAGAGTTTTCTTATAAGAACATCTTATAAACTTGCATGATCCTGACCATTCAGATTGATTTTTCTGAAGGAGAGCCAAAGTCCCTACTCAAAGTGATACATGGGTATAATGGAGAGTGGTGGCTAAATTCAGCCCTTAGAGGAAGGCGGACCTGAGTTTGAAATCAACTTTACTTGCTGCTATATGATCTTTGGACAAGTTATTTAGCAACATTCTGGATGTCAGTTATCTGCACAAAATGCAAATAGCAGTTCCTACTTTATGAGAGTTTTTTTTCCCCTCAGGATTGTGAGAGACAATGTATGCAAAACCTGGTGAATAGTAAGTATCAATAAATAGTAAATAATTGTTATTATTCAGTAACTGTCAATGTGATGTGAGGCCAAGGTTAAAAGGCATGCTTTGGTGTGTCTAGGAGAACTCAACTTCTGTCCAAGAGGAGAGAAAAAAGCAGATGCTCTGTGTTGGATGGTGACACCATCACCTGATCTCTGAGTCCCCCTCAGAGCACCCCCATGCAGTCATTGCCCAGTGTCTGGGCATGTCCTGGAGTGAGGCCCTAAGTACATACACGAGGTAGAAATATACAGACAGACAGACATCTCACATGGTGACTCAAATTCTAACTCTTTCCAGCTCCCACCCATTCTCCGGTCTAGTGTCACATTTTGAAATACGAAGAGCAATTCCACTCCTTCACTGGATCTGAAAGGAAGGAACCAGGAAGGCCAGCCACTGCCCATTGCAGGAACCCCCTCCATGCGCTCCTCAGTCCTTTGATGAGACTCTCAGAAGTGAGGTGGATGTCTGTGAGGGGTCTGTTTCATAATCAAAAGCACGAGTGCTCAGGAAGTTCAGTTATCTGAGACTGGAAAATGGAATGATAATAGTAGCATCTAACACACAGGATTAAACAAAATAGGCATGTCAAGCATGCAATAGGTCTTCTGCATGCCAGTGGGCATTTGACCAGGTGATTCATAGCCTTTACTGTCTTGGGTAATAATCAGAGATGTTATGCCTCCATAAAGGGTTGACAGGCAGTTTAGACCCATGTTAATTCTGAGCAGTAACAGGTTTGGAGAATTAGAGGAGAGAAAAAGCTATGGCGATGGGTACCACCTAGTGGACACCCAGAAGTGCAACAATGTAACTAGATTAGGTCATCAGGGAAAGTTCAGATCACTGACCTTCACCTCTAACTGTAACAAAATGGCTCTTAGCATACAGAAATTTGTTTTCCTGGCCATTTTCCAGAACCAGAAAAGTTGAATCTGAGTCTTCCCAATACTTAGGATAGGTAACCACCAATTTGGGTTAAAGAGAAGTAAAGCCGTTGGTTGCACTTCCTTGACCGGAAATGGGGAAATTGAAGGAACAAGCTTTCTCCTTGGCTGATTTCCCCCTGGAGAGAGTGATGTGGCTTGTGTCTGACGTGAGGTCCCCGTGGCCCTCTTTTCCTACAAGTCATGCCCTTTCCAGATGGGGTGCTGGGAAAAAGTACAGCCTAAGATTTGAAAAGAAAAATTCTTAAAGGGAATTGCTTGTAAGAGGCCAAACAAACCCTGCTTAAAGTTTTCCTGATGGAATTACAGACTTACAGAAAAGTTGCAAGAGCAATACAAAGAATTCTTATACACCTTCACCCAGATTTCCCAAATAAGAACATTTTTACCATGCTTGCTTTTCTTTTTTCCTTCTCTGTATCTACACACACATACAACTGTTTGTCAGTAAATTGCAGACAAAATACCCCCTTATTCTTATACTTTAATGTGTATTTTCTGAAAATAAGAACATCCTTTTATCAAAGTCAAAAAATTATCACTGATTCAGTACTATCATATAATGGGAAGATATTATTACAATTTCACCAATTATTCCACTAATAGTTTTTATAGCAAAAGGAAAAAATTATGGTCTGGGATATAATCCTAAGTGTACATACTGCATTTATGTTTCATGTTTTTAAATCTCTTTTAATCTACAACAATTCTCTAGTCTTTCATTGTCTTTCATGACCTAGCAAAAATATTTAGTAATAAATCACAATATTAGCAAATTATAAACTACAGAAGAAAAGAATCCACAAGTTTATACTGACATGCGTAAGTGAATAAATAAATGAGGAATAAGGGAAAACCCTGTTGGGAGTGCCAACCAATCAGTGCAGGAAGGATGATGAAATGAGCAAATCCCAACGTGACGCCCATAAGGCAAAAGCCATCAGTGGGTGCTAACACTAGTAGGATGAAGGCTGGTGAGTAACAGGACATTTGCATAGTTTCAAAGTGTCTTCCCACAACATGTGTATTAATTACAAAGAGAACAAACAATGATTTTACACTGAAGACAGCTGGAAGACCCTGCCCTAACAGGAGTCAAAATTAATGTTAAATATTAGTGCCTTTGATATTCCTCACAAAAATGCATAATCTGGATTGAAACACAAGGAAACATCAGACGAATCTAAATTGAGGGACAGTCTATAAAATAAATGGCTTATAATCTTCAAATTCTGCCTTTGAGCTAGAGAACTTATACCTTCCCTTGCCAGCCCTACTTTAGACTCTGGGTGTCTGTTTTAGGAAGGTTGAGGGAGATCCAGTTCTTCAGGGCAAAGGCCAGGTCTTCTTTGATCTGGGGATGCTTTGAGTTCCTCTCTCAGGAGACACCTGTGCCCGTCAGGATGCACCGGGGCCAGAGGTACCATGCTTTCCTCCTACTCCCGTGACTGCAGCGTCACTGACTCCAGGGTCTGGGAAACCACATTTCTGCTATGAGGTGTGTGGCCAGGGCCTCGGAGTGCCCTAGAATTTGGAGGCACTTCCCAAGGGCATAAATATAAGGCAAATAAAAGGAAGCACTACCTGACATAGAAGGTGAAATTTTCTTGGCTCTGGGGGGTAAGAACTAGGAAGTTAAGCTGGCTCAGGAAGAGAAAAGTGAATTTTCAGAATGACAATGTCAAGAGACAATTACTGAGTGGAGTTCAATCTTTCTGAGGTGAGTTGGAAGGAAAGGAGACCTGATAGCCACAACTCTTCCTTAATGCAGTCCCTGGTTTCCCTAATGCCACCATCATCCTCCCCATAAACTCCAGGGGGTGGGTCCGATGGGCTCCCATCTAGATAGCATCTCTAGCCCCAGGGCAATGGGATTTCTGGGGGGGGGGTTTCCTGGAGAATGGAGATGGGAACAATGAGCAAGACACAGCCTCTTGGGTTGGTTTCTAGTGACCTACGGAATGACAAGCTCCAGCGCCTATTACTACACCAAAGTGATGTCTGAGCTCTTCTTACATACCTCATCAGATACCAGAGTCTCCTTCCAGGCCATCAGCAGCATGGCAGACTTCTGGAACGTGAGTATGAGGCCACCTCTGCCCTTCCCCTGTCCTTCTCAATGGCCTGAAGGATGGGGCCACAGGCCAGGGTTCAGGGATGTCAGACAGTGGATCAGGTCATATCCAGAGACCAGGTCATTCTAGGATTAGGCTGAGTTAAAGGGTCAGGAAAGAATTAATGGGTCACACTAGAGTTAGGGTGGAGTTAGGCAAGAGACCAGGATGATGATCAGAGTGTCAAGCCAGCAGTTAGACCAGTATTGGAAGTCAGGGGTAGGATTGAACTAAATACATTTTAAATAAAGAGTAGGTCAAGATCTGTCAAGGTTCATGGGTCACCTGAAGAATCCAACAGAAGCAACCCGGAGACAAGCTGGGAGGGGTGGCCAGGGAGTAAGAGCAAAGGTCATTCTGAGGGTAGGGGTCAGGATGAGGCAGGGTCAAGCCCAATTCTGCTTGTGGTCTAGTTTGCCCAGGGCCCACTACTGGACAGTTTGTATTGGACCAAATGGTACAACAATCAGAGCCTGGGCCACGGCTCCCACTCCTTCATCTACTATGAGAACATGCTGCTGGGGGTTCCAAGGCTGCGGCAGCTGAGGGTCCGCAATGACTCCTGTGTGGTACACAAGGACTTCCGCGAGGACATTTTGAGCTGCTATGACGTCTACTCTCCGGACAAGGAAGAGCAGCTCCCCTTCGGGCCCCTCAATGGCACAGCGTGAGTGAACCCCCAGTACAATCACGGAGCTTGCCCCTCCAGCCTGACACCATCCCAAGGTTTGGAAACTGCTTCTACAGAGCCTTAGGGAGAAGTAGAGGAGAGCCTGAGGGGCTCAGGGGCAGTGGGGTGATGGTCTGGGTCATTCAGGAGCAGAGAAGGTCCATTAACAGACAGAGCCATGGCCTCAGGACTGGTTTTCACACACAGGCCACAAGCCCTCTGTTCTACTCTGGAGGCAGTCCTGCCAGAGAAAGCATTTTTCTCTTGCCCAGCAGTCCCTTGGGGCTGGGAGCATTGATGATGCATCAACACTGCTGGGAGTCATGGTTGGAAGTCTAACCCTTGGGACGGATAGGAGAGCAGCAAGGGGTCCAGTGTGAATGACGTTAGGGAGGAAAGGGGAAAAGGATGGCTAGGATGCACTAGGATGGGAGAGAAGGGGAAAAAAGGGCCCAGGGCAGAAAGTTTGTGGTCAGAACAGTGATGGGGCTGCGTAGCCTGGTGCACGGCCTCAAGAGCAGAAAGGGTCTTTGCTGGGTTGTATGGGCCAGGTGCTTCCCTTATGGGGACTACTCAGGCTGGGGTCAAAAGTGGGGCTTGGGCTTGTCATCCATAGTCTTGTCTGACATCATGAAAAATGAGATTTACATTTGAGTTTCAGTTTGGCCACTAACAAGCTGGAGAATCTCACGTATCTCTGAGTCTTGGTTTCCTCACTTGCAAAATGTGGATAATGGTCACTTGTAGTTCCCAAACAATTGTTAACATTAAATAAGATAATATATATGAAATATACATATATGTGATATGTATATATAATGCATGTGAAACTGTAAAGCCCAGATAATCATCAAGTATTGCTATTGCCTTGGGCCATCAGCTTTAGGTTGGCTCAGACCTCTGCTCAGAAGGCTTCTTCCTTGGCAGGTGGACATACCACTCACAGAATGAACTGGGGGGCTCCTCTCACTGGGGCCAGCTCACAAGCTACAGTGGAGGTGGCTACTACCTGGACCTTCCGGGATCCCGACAGGGCAGTGCAGAGGCACTCCGGGAACTTCAGGAGGCCCTGTGGCTAGACAGGGGCACTCGGGTGGTTTTCATCGACTTCTCAGTCTACAATGCCAACATCAATCTTTTCTGTGTTCTGAGGTGGGTCCCCTTTTCCTACTGCATCCCTCCATCCATGGTTCTTGGTTTCCTTCTCCTCTGCTTGAGACCCTTTCCTAAACATGTACCCTGTGGTGGGGATGGGGAGAGATGGGGATGGGAGGAAGTGTCCCAGCCCAGGCCCTACCAAACATCCGCCCCTCCTCCCACAGACTGGTGGTGGAGTTTCCAGCTACAGGAGGTGCCATCCCATCCTGGCAAATTCGCACAGTTAAGCTGATTCGCTATGTCAGCAACTGGGACTTCTTTATTGTTGGCTGTGAGATCATCTTCTGCATCTTCATCTTCTACTATGTGGTGGAGGAGATCCTGGAGCTCCATATCCACCGACTTCGCTACCTCAGCAGCATCTGGAACATTCTGGACCTGGTGGTCATCTTGGTGAGGAACAGATTATCTTGGACTTGGCACGTATTTGGAGGAGATGGGGGAATCTACCCTCATAGGCGCTCCGAGCTATTCCTTTCAGAGTCCCAAGTCCACCTTTTGACATCTAGTCAAATCCCTGTATCAGCCTCTCTAAGCAAGAGGCTGATATTTCCCTGGCTCAGCACTGGGAAAGCCTTATCTCCCATGTCCCTTCTCCCTCTAGTCTGTGACCCAGGCTCTGCTCCTTTCTTTATGTACTTGACGCTTTGTTCCTCCTCTGTCTCTTGCCCTTATGATCTCTCTATCTCTTTGAAGTTCCTGTCTTTTCTCTTGTATTAAAATAACCTGCCTTTTAATCTTTGTCTCCTTCCCATTAAAAGGACACACTAATTTCCTGACCAAGGCTGGGAAGTGGTGGGGGAAATAAAATTACTTGGCTCCAGTTCTCTATGGCCCTTTACAACCCAGCTATTTACAACTGGCCCCAGAGCCTTCTCTTGGGCTTTAAGACATTGCCCAATAATCCCACCGAGTTCCATCTGAACCTGGATAGTCAACAACTCAGCAGCTAAGGAGGTTTTTTTCCCCCACCTGTCTTACCTACCCCTGTGACTTCACTGTTGAACTTCCCTTGGGATCCCCTTGACTCCTCTGACCCCTCAACTCCTGTGATGACAGCTCTCCATTTTGGCTGTGGGCTTCCACATATTCCGGACCCTGGAGGTGAATCGGCTGATGGGGAAGCTCCTGCAGCAGCCAAACACGTATGCTGACTTCGAGTTCCTCGCCTTCTGGCAGACGCAGTACAATAACATGAACGCTGTCAACCTGTTCTTTGCCTGGATCAAGGTACTCTGGGACTCCTCGCTCCCAGCTTCTCCTCGGGCACTCATTCTCCCTTCCTCAAAACTTGCCTCATTTTCCTTGTCTGGTTTGGCAACCCTGGGGCTTCCATAGTCTGGAGCAGACTGTTTAAAGTTTTCCTGTTTTCTTCCTTAATTGCCCGGTTCAACATGGTCCTGCCAGATCTTCAAGTACATCAGCTTCAACAAAACCATGACTCAGCTCTCCTCCACGCTGGCCCGCTGTGCCAAGGACATCCTGGGCTTCGCTGTCATGTTCTTCATTGTTTTTTTCGCCTACGCCCAGCTTGGCTACCTGCTTTTTGGGACCCAAGTGGAAAACTTTAGCACTTTCATCAAGTGCATGTGTGTGTCCTGTCCCTTTCACTCCTCCCTGGCCCCTTACCCTCCAGCTCCATGGGTGTAGGTATCCTTGGGGTACATTCATATGGGCGCATCTGTGCTTAGAGCATCTGTGTGAGAGTCTTTGGAGGCCCTGATGTGTGTGCTCAAGCATCTGTGCATCCTGCTCTGTCTCTATCAGATGGGCTGGAGGTGCAGTGAGGGGTCTTTCTGAGTCCATGAAAAAGCAGTTAAGAAAGTGGGATCAGGGTGTGGGCTGGGGTTGGGGTTACGGTTAGGCTCTGGGTGAAGCCCAGTCCCCGGTCTCTCAGTTTCACTCAGTTCCGGATCATCCTTGGGGACTTCGACTACAATGCTATCGACAATGCCAACCGCATCCTGGGCCCTGCCTACTTTGTCACCTACGTCTTTTTTGTCTTCTTTGTGCTCTTGGTAAGGGTCTTTCTGAGAAGTGGGAATTTGGAATCTGAGGGGAGAGATGTAGAGGGCCTTCAGGGTGGGTTCTTTACACCCCAACCCTGTTCTTCATTCAGGATTACAATGGGTTTCTTAAATCAAGGATGGGGAGTGTGTGTGTGGCGGGGGTGTGGATCTTCTGAGAGCCAGCTAATATGGTTGGTCAGTGTGGTCAGCACAGTCAAGTATTTTGCACAGTATAAGGGACTCTGCAGGCTCCCTCACTAACATCAAACCCCTCTCCTCCAAGGGTGGAAAGGGAGAGAAAAATGCCTCATGAGAAGTGGCTGCCCCTGGAAGCTTCTATGTCTGTCCTTCAAACCTCCCCTTCCTCTGGGGAATGATGGCTATTTATACAACCACTGCTTTGTATTTATTCTCTCTTCCTGTCAACCATGAGAGATCAGGGTTTCATTTCTATTAACAAAGTAGCAGGTTTCTTTATTTGATTAATGAATGGGGGCATAAATATAGATTAGAGATAGATGATTAAGAGAGCACAATTATATTAACACCTTGAAAAAGTTTCTGGCTTCAGTGCTTGGTGGGCCCTTATATGAAAGGGATCTGCGACATATGCCGAGGTATTTTTCTGATCAGGTTACTATAGCAAATGAGTGAGGACACCAGGTTGATGAGTAAGCATGGTCCATCACTAACAGAACTGTGCTGAAAGGCAGGGCTCTGGGGACCCTGAGATATAGGAGTTAGTGGGCTGCAGGTCTGGGCTTGAAAGCTTTGACCCCTTTAGAACATGTGTCTAGAATATTAATAGCATCAGTGGGCTCGGTGCTGTGGATCTGGGGGTGAGGACCCAAATCCCCACATTATCTTCTAGAATATGTTCCTTGCCATCATCAATGACACATATTCAGAGGTCAAAGAGGAGTTGGCTGGACAGAAGGATGAGTTACAGATTTCTGACCTCCTGAAGCAGGTAACTACTCAATCTCCTTGAGCTGCATATTTACATCAGGGCCCAGTTCCAAGGCTCTGTGTCCTGGTCTGTTCCTGACTAGCACAGGGGACTGTGTCCTTGTGTACCTTCAATTTACCCCTGGAAGCCTGGCATCCTGGGGGTGGAGGTGGGGGTAAGGGATGATGAGGAGGCTGTGGGACTTGTGCTTGTTTCCTTTCCCCTTCCAGGGCTACAACAAGACCCTAATGAGGCTGCGTCTCAGGAAGGAACAGGTTTCGGATGTGCAGAAGGTCCTGCAGGGTGGGGAGCAGGAGGTCCAGTTTGAGGATTTCACCAACACCTTAAGGGAGTGAGCAATCAGAGATCTAAATTTCTCTGATTTTAGTCTATAAGTCCTTGATCTTCAACCACGCAGACATCCTTTATCTATAAGCCTCTGATTTTGACCTATGAACCTCTGACTTTGGCTAATAGGCCTTTAGCCTTCACCTATAGGTCTCTGATCCTGTCTTTCAGAATCATGCCTGTAGTTTAAAGGTCTCTGACCATTGTGGGGGGGCACTCCACCCGCACAGCCCCCAGCCTACCATGGATGAGAATAAATCTACCAAGACATGATCTGCTTGGGGATGAAAGGTGGACAACCTCTCAAAGGAGAAGGGCCTTGAACCTGTTCCTCAATGGGTTTTTATTGGGTTTAATCTGCATAGGAATACAGAGTGTATACATAAATCTCATTAATCATTGTCAGGTAGTAACGATCAAACAATAGATAACATTCCAATAACTATGAGGGCTTATTCTGAGTCAGGGTCAGATAGCTAAAGGGCTATAAAACTTTGGGAAACAAACTCATTTTATGCTTGGACCCTTATCATTTAAATTGAGGGCATTCTTAGCAAAGCACGTTTCACAAAACTTTATGCCTGATTGTCCCAGGGAATGCCCATTCCAGCACAGGGCCACACCCACCTCCAGCATTGTTTCAGGCTTAAGTAAGGCCGCCAAAATATTAGGAGACGTTTTGCAGATAGAATGAGAACTCAGGCCCTTGAAAAGCCAAGGGGTGAGGATCCATCACTCCTTTTCTATAGTCCCCTAAGTCCTTCCCTGAGGGCCCCTTTATGACTGTGCCCGTCTTAGGTCATCCCTCCCTTGAGGAATCTTACCCATCATTGGCTAACCAGTCATCTGTCCAGGGCCAAACAAGGTGAAGCAAAGGGGGCAGAGGCTGCACCCCTGCCAGGAGGATAAGCTTTGTCTCCTTAGTGGCTTATGGTCCCAAGGTCTTTTTACTCAGCCTTAGCCATGGGGGGTTACAGCTGCTGACACCAGGCAGGGTGGTACCCAACAGACCATGTTCTATAATGTTCTGGACCTTGTTTAACCAACTTTTAGGACTAATAATATAATTCCCTGATCTTTGTATACATCCCTCACACCCACAAAATTCTGATCTTGGTTCTTTGCTCCCCCCAAACACTGGTCTATTTCCTTAGCTATTCTCTTCCAGCTTCCCAATTAAATAAACGCTGAAGAAATATATTGTAAACACCGGCTGCGGGCCAAACACTGAGTAATAAATAGTTTATCATTGCTAAGGTATCCAGTGAAAGGTGGGACATAGCAGGAGATATGGCCACACAAATAAGCAAGGACCATGGTGGGAATAGCCTCAAACACCATTACTCTATCCAAAGAACAAGGTACCCAGGAAGCACTTTAAGCAGAGAAGGGGTATTGTATATTTAGACCTGCACTTTAGAAAGATTAATTACTCTAGTTGCATTGTAGAAAATGGATTTCAGGTAAGGAGTAAAAGGGACGCTGAGGGGCTAGGGGGCAGGTTATTTAGAGGCAAAGAGATTTTGCACTAACCCCTGTAGGAGATCACATGGGCCAAACCTAGTCAGCAAGAGACAGGGATGAAAGAAATAGATTCACGTGGTTTCTTGGGGGTAAAATTGCTAGACCCTAGAGATCCTGGCTCTCCTATGTGGTCTCCTTCTTCCCCAGAGAATGAGAGTCTTGCCAGAGTCTGGCTAAAAGAGTAGGGAGTCCATAATCAAGACATCACAGTCACAGCATGTCAGAAGGTGTTTCATCATCCTGTTCTCCTCAGACTGGGGCACGCAGAGCATGAGATCACTGAGCTCACAGCCACCTTCACCAGGTTTGACCAAGATGGGAATCGTGTCCTAGATGAGAAGGAGCAGGAACAAATGCGACAGGACCTGGAAGAGCAGAGGGTGAGCCCAGCTGGTTGGTGGAGAGGTAGTATAAGGAAATTGCTTATGCTGCCCCCATGTTAACATGCCCAGAACACAAACCCAAACTGCAAACCCTTCAACAGATGGGCAGGAAAGAGCTCTCTAGAATGGTGGTTCTCAAATTGCTGCACATTAGAATACCTGGGAGCTTTCACAAATCCTCATACTCGGGCCATAGCCCCTAGACCAGAATCTCTCTGTGGAAGGGCGGGACATGGGGTGCTAGAAATCAGTACTTTTTAAAACTCCCCAGGTGATTCCAATGTACAGCCAAGATCCCAACTGCTCTAAAACAGTTTTTAGGGCAATTTCCTTAAGAGAATTTTTTTAGAAGAGAAAGGACCAATTGCTCAAGAACCCCTGACAATTCCTTCTCCTTGGGATTTTCCAACTCTGATCCTCAGCTGCCCCTGATATGCCTGCTTTATCCCTATCTAGTGTAGACCAAAAAGTCAAGGGCAGGAGAGACAGTGCAAGGACTAGTGTCCAAGAGCAAGAACTAGTGTCCAAGAGCAAGAACTAGTGTCCAAGGCCTGTTCCCGAGAACCCATTAGAACCAGAGCTGATGGCTTCCCAGAGTTGTCTTCTCCTCTCGGAGTTCTGACTTCCTGATCAGGTGGCCCTCAATGCTGAGATTGAGAACCTGGGCCGATCCATTGTGAAGAATCCACCAGGCAAGTCGGGTCCAGAGGCTACTGGAGCAGGTGGCTGGGTTTCCGGAGAAGAATTCTACATGTAAGTGCAGCCAGGGGGCCAGGGCTATGTTTAAATCTCCTTCCTTGAGCTTCTTTCCATAATTTTCTAATCCCTTGTCCTAGCCCAGGAAGAACTTCTGTTCCCCTTTAATTCTGCCTAAAGGCTGGATCTTACCTTCCTCACTTCCATCCAGGCACACACCATCCTGTCCCCCTCCCCCCTGTAGACACTTGGTACCCCAAACACATCTTTCTGCTTCCTCGGTCTCTCTCAAAACCTGTGCAGACTCACAAGGAGAGTTCTGCAGCTGGAGACTGTCCTGGAAGGAGTCATGGCCCAGGTTGATGCTGTGGGCTCAAAGCTAAAAATGCTGGAGAGGAAGGGACAGCTGGCTCCCTCCCCAGGCAGGGTAAGTGGCTCTTCACCTGAGTCCTCGTGGCTCTCAAAAGCTGAACTCTACCATATGCTCCACTCAGTGCATGGAGGCAAAACCTTTTTGAGAGATCTGTTTTCAGGCTATTGGGGCCACACATTCTTCACAATAGTCAGTGTATAAGGGAAGGTGGGGTAGGTGGGAATGCCTAAAGGTGGTTGCTCTGGCCTGAAGGCTGCCTTGGCCTGTAAGAGATGGTCTGGGCTTGGACAGTCAGATCCAGATAGGCGGGAATTGGGACACAAAGTCCTCTTTCTAATAACCTGTCTGTCCCTTTTTCTTCCAACAGGGGGAACAGGCATTGGGGACCACCTGCAGCCAGCCTCAGCCATGACTCCAGCCCCCTGGGGATTCCAGGGTGGGCAGAACAGTGGTTGCGGAGGGGTCCTAAAGCACAAGACAGCAGGCCTCTCTCTCACTGCCTCCCCAGAGGCCCCCTCTGCATGTACCCTCCACTTCTAGGGCAACAGTTCCCACCACTGCCGTTGCTGAGTACTTCCCTGTGTTTGGCCTATCAAGCCAATGTTTTTGTGTATAACTGGGCATCATGCTTAGGCTTGTGATTCAGTGTTTCTGTGTGTAGCTATGTAACTCTGCATAGCTCTGTGAAATAATATCCCCCCCAGGCCTCTCACTCCTTGTGCTTCCAATCTCTACTGTAGTGATTAAACAAACAAAAAGGACAATAACAAACAGAATAAAGGAAGGAAGGGTAATGACTTCCTCAAGCATCTGGACAGCCATGATTTGTGAAAGAAAAGTAGAAGCCAAGAGTAGCAAAATCTAGATGTTTTCCTATTTGCCAGTGAATGTTATCCTTTGTACATCTAGAGATCAGCTGCTAGAACCTATTGGGTTTTTGTCTTCCCCATAGAGTTTTTCTGTAGAAGAGAAGGGGAAACCATATAGGAGAGGAGAGCTTCTCATGTAGGGAGATTGTAATGTTGCAGAGGAATTGGAGTGATGACCTTTCCAACCTGAAGGCTCAGTGGAGAAGCCTCCCCCCAACATTCTGCAGAACACTGGGGACTGACGAGGCTGTAAACCAAGATGAAGATGGAGCCTGAGGAGGATATGGCAGAGAAATGATCTCAGAATTCATAGATCTTTGAACTAATGTGTGTTGGGCTCTGACTCTATTCTTCTGGTGACTACGAATAAAAATCCTTAGGAAAATCAGGATGTTGCACTTTCTTCTGGGATTGTAAGGGGAAGAAGAGAGGTGGAACTGAGCCATCCTTGTACTTGGGCTAGGGAGAGCTCATCCCTGCTGGGAGGTCAGGAATGAAGGCAGTGACAATGTGAAGAGCTGACCTGCCCTAGGAGTCCTGAAATAAGAACTTCTGGCCCACAGGAATGGTTAGAACCACTGGACACTCTGATTATACCATTAGGAACTAGAGACGCTGCCCTAAGGAAATCTGGTTCTCAGGATGAAGTGAGTAAGGTCATGCCCTTACTCTGAGGTAGAGGACAGCTGGTGTGTATGGGAGCAGGAGAGGGTACAGGTGGAGGATAACCAGGAAGCGATAAGATAAAAAACCTCACCTGATTTTGGGTGTACAGGTCTACATTACAAGACCTGCTAGCTATATTCCCTTTCCTTCCTCTGTGATCTTTATCCCTTCCTCATTATGCACCTTCCATTGTTTCCCAGTTGCTTTTTCTCGCCTATTCCCTTCACCCACCCCTGTTCTTCCATCCCATCAAGTACACTCTATACACCCAGAGGACTTGTGAAATAGCTAAATGCAGTTAAGATAACCAGTGTATCCTCAGCCCTGAAAAAGTTATGATCCAAGCTTTCTTATAGAAAGGCTGTATCAACAGAAGAAAAGTAGGTGCCAGCCTACAGCTAAGAAACAGGGGCGGAAGTGTGGGGGTTAGTCCAGGACAGGAAGGGAGAGTTTTCAGCCTACGGAATCAATGCCTGAAGATTCCCCTATGTTTGAATAAGACTACTTTCAAAAGCGTGGATTCCCTGAGTAGATTCTGGCGACTTAGCTTGGGTGCAGAGTCCCTGGGGAGGGGGTAAAAACTGTCTCCTGTGCCTTTGGTCAGCAGACCAACCCCAGATAGGTCCTGAGTCCTACTAGACTAGTGACCCCCTCTAGGGCAGCGATCCTCAACTTTTTTGGCACCAGGGACTGGTTTCGTGGGAGACAATTTTTCTATGGGGGTGGGAGGGATGGTTTTGGGATGATTTAGGCACATTTCATTCAAGCTCACCTCCTGCTGTGAGTCCCTGTTCCTAACAAGCCCTGACCAGAACTGGTTCTCGGCCCAGAGTTTGGGGACCCTTGCTTTAGGGGATGGCTACAGGGATGAGTGCATCCTCAGTACCAGACGCCGCGACTCTTGGCAGTGGATCGTCTCTCTACAACCTTTCTTAGCTTCAACTTCGGCTCCTTACTTACACTTTATCACTCTGTATTGAGCGGCAAGACAGAGGAACTACAGCGTCAGGAACCTAAACTGTGGTCGGGAAGAGTAGGGGGCGCACTCCTGGTGCGCATGCGCACCCATCGCAGAACCGGAAGCAGTGCGGGGCCGAGCATGGCGGCGGCGGCGGCGGCTGAAAGTGTGCTGGCGAGCCAACGAGAGGAGCCAGTTAGAGGTACGCGGAGTGGATGGAGTAGAAGTGTCCAGAGGGAAGCCCGGGGCTCCGGCTGGGACCCAGGATGCCGGGGCTTGCCTGACAGGAGCGGGCCTGTGGGAGGGGCGTACCTGTGTTTGTGCAAGTGTTCATTCTGTCCCGGCGAGTGAGATGGCTTGGCCGCGGACTCTGGCGTGAGCTGAAGCCAGTAGAGGCGAGCAGAGGTGCTGTGTCAGGTGGGGCAAGGACGACGTGAGGGACTTGAAATTATGATACGTGGAGAATTCAGCCGACTTGATCGAATGAAGACAGGTGGAGGGTTGTGGGGAGCAGATGCTGTGGCTGGATTAGGACCGGGTGTGGGGCAGGACACTTAACTCATTCTCCTCTGATCCAGACGATGCCGCGGTGGAAACAGCTGAGGAAGCAAAGGAGCCCGCTGAGGCTGACATCACTGAGCTCTGCCGGGACATGTTCTCTAAAATGGCAACTTACCTGACTGGGGAACTGACGGGTGAGGCGGGGTCTGGGTTGATTCGGGTAATTGGGTGCACCCCTCGCTGGAGCTGTGGTTCGGCTTGGGAAGACCCGGGAGGTGCTCCCTAACCCCGCCTGCCCAGAAACTTGCCTGTTGGAAGTTTGGAACCATCCTGAATGGGAAGGAAAAAGGTCCATTTCTTCCCTGGAGAGGATCACGAACTACCTTAATACATAAGAATACTTAATACAACTCTACAGGCCTCCGTATTGCAGACTAATGTTGAGAAAACAAAACATAATTTATCAAAAAGTTTTTCCTTGGGAGAGGTGTACTTTGAGTAGGGTTGTGAAGAGAATGATGGGCCACAAGGGAGAGAAACGACTAGTAAGTGAAGTGGTATGTATAAGCGAGTAGTTTGTTTGGCTGAAACAGCAGTATTTACTGGTGCAAAGAGAAAAGGGATTGGGGGAGGGAGAGAGACCTGCAGATTTAGCGACCTGTTAGGTTGGTCTCAGGATTTGGTGACTCACTCCTTGGGAGATGATTAAGTGTTTGGTTCATGCTGTATTTCCAGGTGAACGCATGATGTGTGTGTGTGTGTGTGTGTGTGTGTGTGTGTGTGTGGAGGAGGGTCCAGAAGGTGAAGTCTGGTCCAGTGTGGCCTCTCATAAGCAGTTATTGTATTGTTTTACTTCCACAGGAGATTGCTGTGAGCTAGATTTGGGAGACAGTATCTATGAGAACAGGCTTGATGTACAATAGAAGAGCTTGTGAGTCTCTCTCAGTCTGATTTGTTGTCTATCTCTGAGCAAGAGAGACCAAGTAACGGAATCTAAATTTTTTGGCTTTTCTTTAAAAATTCCAAAGATTTGGCAATACCAGTCCCGCATTCTTATTAGCCTGTGATTCTTTGGAGCTGAACAGCTGTATCCTTTAAATGGACTAGTCCTCTGCAGTTTGTCCCTGTCACTCTGTTTTCTCCCTTTTACTGAGACCTAGGCTCGGTTGCCATTTACCACTGTTCTTACACTGTTGTATTTTTAGTAATGGGTTTCTGCACTAATATCTCTATAAAAATTGCTAAACTAAATGATAAACTAAGAGGACCACATATTCCGAGAAGTGGGAGAGAGCATATTTCTTTGTGAAAGTTGAGTTATCGTATGTGTTTAATATGCAAACACCTGACTTGCTTCACTCATTGACACATTCTGGCCCGCTTCCAAGTATTTGAGTGTCTGTTTTAAAGACACTCATTTGGTAGTAGAGAATATAGGTATGGAGGAAAGAAAGATCAATGAACAGCATTCCAGATGAAAAGTAATGGTGGTCTGTGATGGTATCAGAAAAAGGAATGGAAAGGAGGGCATGGCACAAGAACATTACAGAAGTGGAATTTATGGGACTTAAAGTGAGTATTGAGGGATGGGAGCAGCCTGAGATGGATGTGTTTGGGCCATTAAGCCTGGGTTGTACCAGCAGCCAACATAGGGAAGTTGGAAAGAGGAACCATGTTTAGTGTGAAAACAGTATTTTCAGTTTTGGCTTGGTTGATTTTAGATTTTAAGAGGACACTCAGTTGACAGTTATTAAGACACTCAGGTGAGTTGCATGCGAGTCCAGAGCTCAAAGAGTGGTGAGAGCAGGAGAAACAGACTTGGGAGTTTAACCTGTATGGTGCTGTGAACTGGGGCTATGCAAGATGAGATTGGGAAGGAAGAGCTTAGAGGTAGATAAGAGGGCCTTGGCTAAAATCTCAGGGAATGCTGGTATGGGGCAATTAATTTCTTTTTAATAACAGTATTTGAAGCACCTAGGCTTCCAAATGATTAGTTAATAAAATTAATTTCAGGCAGGTTGTAATTCCCCCTAATTGTTATTCTTACTTGCACAAATGCTCTTGTGAGTTTGAAAGGGAATGCCGCTGTTGAGAAAAGTTGAGAAGTGATAGGTAAGGAGGTTGGATGAAAAAAGATCTGTCATAGAAACCTAAAAAGAACAGTTAGAAGGAGATTAAAAAATCAGTGTAATGCAGTATACAGTGCTATAGCAGCCAAGGGAGAATTGCATAAAAAGAGGGAGATCACAGTGTCGGATACTATAGAGAGGTTCAGGAGAATAACTATGGATTTCATATGGTTAGGAGAGCACTGGTAACCTTGGAGCATATAATTTCTCTGGATGGTGGGGACAGAGGGCAGACTGCAAGTGTTCACATGAGTGAACAGTGAGGACAAGAAAGCAGTGAGTGTAACCTACTCCTTCAAGAGGGTTATCAGTGAAAGTCCTTTGCTTTTCTGAGCAAATGAGGGTGAGTGGAGGGTGTGCTTTTGGGCTGGAGGAAACCTGAATCTGTTTCTAGATAGAGTGTTTGGAAATGCAAAA